GCCCTCCTCCCCTAATCAGCACCTGCTACCTGTGAGGGTACCCATGAGCTTAGAAATAACTATCCCTTCCCGTTTAGACGTCACTTACTTGATAGGTTTATTCGCTCAGAACCTCCTCATGACAACCCAGTGAGGTAGGCGGAGAAGAGAGTACAGTTCCCTTGGTATATGCGTATGTATTCAGAAATGAAGCTCAGAGAGGAAAAGCTCCAAGCCCAGTGGTTCCCAAAGTGCAGCACACACCCCACAGGGAGGGCAATTTGATTTTAAGTGGGGGCAATTTGAGAATGAGTTAACAGTGAATTTTTTGCATTTCTTATGGTCCTAGGGGCCTCATCTACAGTGTATCCTACATAATAAAATGCTAATATGCAAATGACTAAATAGTGGAATGAGATCACTATCATGGGTGCTGGCCACCAGGGGGCAGACACTCAACACAGGAGCTGCCCCCAGGTGGTCAGTATGTTTTCACAGAGGAAACCCGCTCAGCCAGAAGCTGGGCTCACAGCTGGAGAGCACAGAGGCAATGGTGGGAGTGACTCCATCCTCCATGGCAATGCTAAGATATCAGACTGATAGCTTAGACTCACTAAGCCTTCAATCGGACATCCCCCCAGGACTCCCAGACTGTGAGAGGGTGCAGGCCAAGCTGAGGAACACCCCCCAACAACAACAAAAAAAAAGTGCAGGAATTTTGTGCATCAGGCCTCTAATATATATATAGATTGATTTCAGAGAGGAAGAGAGAAAGAGAAAGATCAATGATGAGAGAAAATAATTGACTGGCTGACCCCCTGCATGTCCCCCTCTTGGGACCAAGCCCACAACCAGGGTATGTGCCTTTGCCTGGAATCAAATCCTGGATTCTTCCATCCCAAGGCCGAGGCTCTATCCACTGAGCCAAACCAACTAGGGTGAGCTGTATATTTATAATGACAGAGATAACCTCAGTGTGTGTGTGTTGGGGGAGAGGGTTTAGGAAGCCCTCAATGTTTGTTGTGGGTTGGTGATACCCAGAACAAGTATTTATAACATTCAATATGTGTACCCTCTATTCTGAGCAAAATTCTAATGAGAGGTGCTTAAAATAGAATATCCTGTTTCTAGGTGTGGAATACAGAAAAATAGATAAATAAATGAAGCCGAAAAAGTGAAGAGTCATACTCAGCTTGTGTTTGCCTAATCTTGGACTCCATGCCTGGACAATGAGTTCCTATATAATTTTCTTCTGAAAGCTTTAAGTTTGGAAACACTAATTATTATAATGAGGTATTATTTAAGTTTCTTATTTTTTAAATTAAAAATGGTATTTTTGACTTTTGATATTAGTTTGTCTCAAACTGGTTAAAAGACCATTTAAAAACAGTAAGATTCCATATCCCTATAAAATAAACACATATATTATATTGGTTTTGATGCCTGCATACGTTTTGGTATTTAGCGTTCTCCTGTGTTTACAAAAGAACTGAAGGCATTGTTAGAAATCCATTGTGCAAATATTTATGCTTTGTGAGAGATATCATATGGTTTCTCCCTAAGTTTAGATTAATATTAGTACTATGGTCTTTTCCTTTCACTTGTAAAACATTTTGGTTGGAATATGAAAACACTTAATAAACTCTTTGACATTTTGGTGATTGTCTTAAAGCACCAATAGAATGAGTGATAATGCAGAAATGGAAACAAAGAAGGCAGCAACACAGTTAATCTAAGAAGTTTTGCTTGGCTATCAAATTTATAATCATGTAAGAGCATGTATCCTAGGGACTTGGAAGAAATATTTCCATAGAATGTTTCTTACATTCTATGGAAATAGATCAAGGCTTCTTTATCCACAATTGTTTTCTTTTTAATTATAAAGGTTAACATATTTTTCAAGATAGAGCTTATAAACATATTTGGCTTGTGAATTGCACCTGCATTCACATTGGAGCCTACTCTGGCTGTTTCAAGAACAAAAGCTATACTTTTTAAGGAAAAAACAACAACAACTTAATCTAAAGCTCAACTCTGTATGTTGTTTTATGTTTGTCCCTTTTTGCAAAAACAATTGAGCTTAATTATTTTTTTATTTAGTATCATTGCTTTTATTATAAACTATTAATTCTTAGGATAAAGTATGTTTTAAGTTATTACTATACAACACAGCACTATGACATACATAATTTTATGAACTGTTTTTGATGACAAAGCTAATTGATTTTATTTTTAATAGGCACACTTTATCTTGTTTAAGTAATGATATTTAAAGGCAATTATGGAAAAGGAGATTCCTCCATTAATTGGTAGATATTTATATTTGCTTCAAAAATACCATACCTAAGAATGAAGAAAAATCATCAATGAGAAATCAGGTGTTTTACCTAATTTGTAAACTCTTCATTTGCCCATGAATGTTTTTATTTTTTCCTTAAGTGCAAACCAAATAAAAATTTCAAATATCTTTTCAATTATTTTTTCTTATCTCCCTTCTTTAATCACTTATTGTTTATCACTCCCCCAAACATTTATTGAAAACATATTGTGTGCATTGTTCTGCATTATACACTGCACTTGACATAATCAACTTAATATACTATGCATTATAATGACCTGATGTCTTTATTTTTCTCATTTATTGATTGATTGAGAGGAAAGGGAATGGAAGAGAGAGAAAACATACATTAATTTGTTGTTCTACTTATTTATGCATTCTGTGGATAATTCATCTATGTGTCCTGACCAGATTCTAACCCTCAATGTAGGCGCCTGGGGATGATGCTCACCATTTGTGCTACCTGGCTATAGATGATGTCTATAGATGTAGCATCTGAGTCTACATCTATACAGTGGTGAGGACAGAAGAAATACGCTATTTTAAACATTGTTCTCTGCATGTTCATTGATTGAATGTTATATTTTCAAGTTCATTCAATTCTGAAAAAAATGAAAACCTATTTTGGGCTTAGTATGCTAGTTTAATGAAATATACCTGGCCCTAAAATACTAGGTAGAGATAAGATGTAATCTGTGTCTAACCAGACTACATATTTCTATATTAATTGATGTATAAATTTTCATTATTTTGAGTGCCTTTGGATGGAATTGATTTAATTTTGAATCAATGGAACCTGTAAGAACCTTGAAATATAGGCTACATATGACTTTTTCCTTAGCAATTTTTCAAATTAACTGTCACCAATTAGCATTTTCTCCATGAAGTGAAGATCTGAGAAAAATCTTGCTTTCTTTTGTGCTTTGCCTGGAGTGCTGTGATACATATTCTTTAAACAAGGGCATGTGGGGAAAAATATACAAAAAACCAACAAACAAAAACACACATTAGTGTTCTCCAAAAATGATTAAGGGATCTTTTGAGATGATTCAGGGAACCTCTAAGAATATATATATATATATATATATATATATATATATATATATATATCAAGTAACCATGCATTTCTCAAAATATCATATGATTTTACCATTGTTGAAGATAAAGATTGTTAAGCATAGACAACTTATTATGGTAACTTTTGTTTTCTGATGTTATAAATCAAGTTTTTTTTTTTTTTTAATTATACAAAATTACTTTTCCACAAACCTTGAGCTTCAAGTTCAGACCAACTATGGCCCGGTGCATGAAATTTGTGCATGGGGCGGTGGAGGGTGGCCCTCAGCCAGGCCTGCACCCTCTCCAATCTGGGACCCCTCAGGATAACCAGTAGTCAGGCATACCTTCCACAATCCAGAATTGCTGGCTTCTAACTGTTCTCCAGCTGGCTTGATTGCTCCTAACCACCTCTGCCTCAGTCCCTCCTCCAGGACAGAGAATTCCCTCCTCCAGCCCACCACAGGAACCAGGGATCCGGTCTTCCCTCCCGCTGGTCAGCCACAGGAGCCCAGGCCGATTGCAGCCACAGGGGATGGAGGGCAGGTGGCTTCGCCTGAGCTGTAATCACAAGTGCTGGAGCCCAGGACCACAGGGTGGGCGATTTCTCCATCTCCCAGGACACAGCTAGCCACAGGTACTGGTGCCCAGGACTGCAGGGTGCTTGGCTTCTTCCTCTATCAGACTGGCTCCTGGACTGCAGGCAAGCAGCTTCTCAGTCTTCCCTGGGATGCAGTGTGGGAAACTTCTCCAGCTGGCTGTGGCCTGAGTGAGATCAAAGGGCAGGCAGCTTCTTCGTCTCCAGGGCTGTAGTCAGCCTCAGGCACTAGGGCCAGGTTTCTCTGTCTCCCCCAGGACATGGGGCAGGCAGATGTGAAGCTTCTGCTGTTGGTTGCAGCTTGAGATCATGGGGCAGGCGGCTTCTTCGTCTCCCAGGCTGGTATCGGACTTACCTGACTCCCACAGGCCCAGAGAGGTGGGGGATGAGGCTGCTGCCATGTTTTCAGGTTAATTTGCATACTCACCCTGATTGGCTGGTAGTGTAGTAGAGTGATGATAATTTGCATTTTTTTTATTAATGTATATACACATTATATATAATAGTTCTTTAAGAAAAGAAAAATAATCAAACCCGGTTTGGCTCAATGGTAGAGCGTCGGTCTGCGGACTGAAAGGTCCCGGGTTCGATTCTGGTCAAGGGCATGTACATTGGTTGTGGGCATATCTCTGGTAGAGGGTGTGCAAGAGGCAGCTGGTCGATGTTTCTCTATCCCTTCTTCTCTGTAAAAAATCAATAAAATATATTTTAAAAAATAATTTCAAAACAGTACTCTGTGTAAAAGCATAAAATGTGTTATGATAAAATGACTAATGATAAAAAGTAAAAAGGATAATGCTTTTCCTTTTATTAATAATACCTTTAAAGATTTAAATAAAGGAACATTCTTTAGTAGTTTATATTTTCCATCTATAGCTATATACTCATTTATTAATAGTAAATTAACCATAACAGAATTTTTGTTAACAATGAACTCTTTTTAAAAAATTATATGAGGTAAGAAATTTGGAAAATGATAATATTCATATACATATTAAACATATATTTATTACTTGAATGTCACTAAACTTTAGAATTTTTGCTCTTCAGAAACATTGATAAGAATATAAAAAGACAATGTGTATACTAGGAAAAATTTTGCAAACAAAATATCTGATAAAGGGCTTTATTTTTAGAATACATAAATAATTTGCTCATATCTAATACAAAGAAAGCAAATGATTCAATAAATATAAATGAGTAAAAGACTAAGACATTTCATCACAGATATTTGAATAGCATCGTAGCAAGTGAAAAAAATGTTCTGGGGTTATAGAGATTTTTATCTGGCTTTACACACACTTGTAAAACCAAAAGTGAACCTTGGGGTGAGGATTGCAGTAATGGTATGATGAAACAGAAATGACAGAATGTTAACAGTTGTCCATGTTGATGATGGTTCAATGGGGGATTAGTTTGACTATTTTGTTTATTTATTTATTTTTTTACTATTTGTTTACTATTTTGTATGTTTTTTTTTAAACTTTGATGATACAAAGATAAACAAATAAAAAACAAAAAATCCTAGCATTGGGTATAATCATGTACTTCTTGACTATTTTTCACAAAAATATACAATCATATTTTATACCACTTCTCTGGGGGGGAAAAATGGCTTAATTTTATTCTCTCTCCAGCAAGAAATTTTATATATATATATATATATATATATATATATATATATGAATTATGTATAATATATGTATAAATAAAGTATATAATTAATAACAGCATATTTGAATAATTAAACTAATATATATATATATATATATATATATATATATATATATATATTATTAATTTTTACAGAGAGGAAGGGAGAGGGATAGAGAGTTAGAAACATCTAATGATGAGAGAGAGTCATGGACCAGCTGCCTCTTGCACACCCCCTAATGGGGATGTGCCCGCAACCAAGGTACATGCCCTTGACCAGAATGGAACCTGGGACCCTTTAGTCCACAGGTTTATGCTCTATTTACTGAGCCAAACTGGTTTTGGCTAAACTAATATATTTTAATGATATATAATTAAATGGGATATATTTTATTACACACCATAATTAAATGTTTTTGTTATTTTAAACAAATGCAAATTTCTCTATCAAGACACTTCACCACTCTTTCTCTTTTAAAAAATTCAATACATTAATTTTTTCCTCTGTCACAACTCAATTCCCAATACTAAAGCTTTGTTTAGATTCTTTTGAAGTTTTTCTTGCAGAATGTTGCCTAAAAGAAAAAAAAAAGGAAGAAAAACCATCTTACTATTTACATAGTAAATTCAATTTATTTTATTTATCATTTATTTTATATTGCATATAATATAGAAATATCTATACAGAAATATTATAAATAATTAAAAATAGTTTTATTTCTGCTATATATTTTTGTAAATAAACTTAGCTAATACATTCACCAAAATCACTTAGTAAATTTGTCTTATTTGTGTGTACTTTGAAATCTTATCTATCTATAAACATTTGCTTTGAATTAGAGGCCCTTAATATTTATAATCTCTTTATTATATAGCACAAATGTTTTTTTTGCATTTTTAAATTTTTAATTTGATTAAAAAACATTTTATATTAAAAAACATTAGAAGATTATATATATATATATATATATATATATATATATATATATATATTTGAAATTATGTTGGTGAAAATTGTATGAGCTTTGCTGTGAAAATTTTATCCACAGTCTAAGTTTCATCACAAGAAAATTGATTGACAACAAAGAATTAGCAAATGACCTTGATTATTATTTAATAAAATAGAAGACACACAGATACTCTTAACTGTCCAATGAATAGGTTCATTAGATGTATAAGAATTATGAAAGTATCATAACTATGAAGATAAATAATACTTATGTATTATAGTATAGTGTACTTGGATTAAATATATATATATGTGGGTGATATATATATATATATATATATATATATATATATATATTTCCATTTTAGTAATATCTGAAGCAGATATTCAGTGGCCATTTATCCTTGTAGCATGATGCTCTTATATGAAGAAAAAATAAAGACTTTTTTTTTGGCACTGTTTTTGCTCTATATAAATCATGTCACAATTAAATATGTTTTGAGATCCTCTGTTGGAAAGATTTTATATGAAAATAAATGGTTTTATTTACAACCTCAAAAGCAGTTATCATTGATGAGACTCTTTAAATTTATATCTGTGCCTACATACTGCACTTGGGAACTTCAAAATAGCATTTATAGACATTGCAATTATATAAAAATAGAAGTCAATAGAAAATAACATTAATTAAATTTCCCTACAGTGTAAATACATTGTATCCATATTTGTGTACATCATTTTAGTTTCTTGAAAATGAGAAGTTTAGAATTTTCTGTGAAGACAGTGAAAACAAATCTATATTATAATTTGAAAAATACAAGTTATTTTTATATTATTATAAACTATTTAACTTGAAAAGTTATAATAGTTTTGAACGACAATTTTTAAAAATTGCAATTGATATAGCCATGTTTGCTTTTATCTTCACAAAGGAAAAATTGGGACAATAATTTATTTTTTATAATATCTATAGCCTAAATAATCTTATATAATAAAAGGCTAATATGCAAATTGACCAAGCAGCAGAAAGACAGGTATATGATATGACACACACTGACCACCAGGGGGCTGTTGTTCAACACAAGAACTGCCCCCTGGTTTTCAGTGTGCTCCCACCACTGAGCCGGAAGCCTGGCTCATGGCAGTCCTATGGGTGTTCAACTGCCAGCTTAGGCCTGCTCCCCAGGTATAAGCCATCAGTCAGACATCCTTCACAGGCTCCTGGACTGTGAAAGGGTGGGTGCAGGCCAGGTTGAGGGGACTCCCCCCAGTGCATGAATTTCATGCACTGGGCCTCTAGTGTATATATATGCCCAATTTGCAAAGTGTCCTCTCTGGAATTCGACTGACCAGGAATGCAATAGCTTGCTATGGTGTGCGCTGACCACCAGGGGGTGATGCAGAATGAAGGAAGGAGCCCCCAACTGGCAGCCAGCAGTGGGGAATGAAGGCCTCAGCAGGTAGCCAGCAGCTGCTAGGGACCGCACTGTGCACTGGGCCTCTGGTATTTTAATATTTCTTCTTTTCAAGTTTATTTTCTGTGCCATGTGCACCCAATACAAAGAAGAAAATATCTTGTTTTCTGTTTGACTATTAGAGAAGTTTGGTGAATGAAAAAGCATCTAATTCAAGAATTCTTAATTGTTGTATACAAAACTTAAAAGCATGCCTAGACCTTCTTGACTGCCATCACTCAGTTGTACAATTATATAAATTATTAAACTCTTAGGGGCCTCACGTATCTCCCGTATAAAATAGTGCAGATGGAAAGAACAATTCTTAAAGTCTTTGCTAGATTTAATGCACTCTGATTAAATCCCAGGTTGCGGGTAACAAAAGCACATGTGGAAGGAACTAGGCTAAAGGGGCTATGCAGAGTAGTGAGAACTATTACACACATCCTCACTGCTGCTCATAGAACAGGAATAATAATATTTACATCTTGTTTGAATAGTATTCACTCTTTGTTGCCAATCCCTGAATATCAGACCTGCTTTTCCATATAGTCTATTACTCCATTTCTTTCGTTCATGCCATATTCTATCTACAAATTCTACATGAACTCATTCTTTTCTGTGGTTTCAAATAGCCTCTGTGCATTGATGATTTCCAAATTTATATTTCTGGCATTTATCCTTCCACTAAGTTCCAAATGCATATATCCCTTATGACATCTTTGCTAGGTTATTTCATAAATATATCAAATGTAATATGTTCAAAGCAGACCTTTTGTTCTTCTGTTCTGTACTAGTAGTTACTCTTCTCACATTCTTTCTAATTTCAGTAAGTGATATTATTGCTTACCCAATTTCTCAAACCAACGGTATTTAAGTCAAGCCCCCTTTTTCTGCTTTCAATATCCAATCTAACAATAAACATGGCCAATCTTCCTCATTTCCCTCCCAAAATACATTCACCTATCTCATTCTTTAATAGCATATGTACTGTTGCTTTTAAAACTCACTGGTGTGCTGGCTAACTTCTTCTTATTCCACAGACCTCATCTCCTCAAAACAGCCGTCCATGAGCACTCTGTATGTTTAATTCCACCCCATCAAACCCCAAGTCCACATAGAGAGTTATTTCCTTTCATACAGTCTGGTCTACTTTATTACAGTTTTTACCATCAGGATGTATCAGCTTTATTTGTATACTTGTTTATTGTCTATTTTCACCTTCTAAGTGTTGGCTATAGGAAAACAAGTATCTAATCAATTAACAATTAGTAATAAGTCAATTAGTAATAACAACTAACTTCTTGTGAACTCTAACTGAAGGAATGGGGAACTAGTCTTCTATCTTCCTAGTAGGTCAATTACTTTACATGCATAAAATGGTTGAAGGTTTTTAAACTGCTGTATTATGATTATTATTACTATTAAATATTTGTTATTTAATAAAACAATTATTCAAAGTTTGCAAGATCAGATATTACCATATACACTAGAGGCCCAGTGCACAAAATTCATGCATGAGTAGGGTTCCTAGGCCTGGCCTGAAATCAGGGCCAATCATTCCCAGCTGCCAGAAGCTGGCTCTGACCCCTGCTGCTGCCATTTTCCCTCTATGTGTTGAATAACAAGTGGTACAATTGGGGCCCCAGCACCACCCAGATCCGCAGCCACCCATGCCTGGTTCCTGGTTCCCCTTTGGGCCATAGGAGCCTGCTGGCTGGGGGAGGGGGTTGGGCAGGGAGGTTGGTCATTCCTACCTGCTTGCCAGCCCAACCCTCTGCAGCCACTGGTCCTCCTCTGTGTGTGGGGTGACTGGCAGGGCAATTGGGGCCCTGGCACCATCCATGGCTGCCACCCAACCCAGTTCCCTGTTTCCCATCAGGCAATTGGAGTCTGCTGGCCCAAGGGAGGGACCAAGAGGTTGGCTGGCAGGCCCCGATTGGGTGATCAGGGCTTCCAGGCTGAGGGCAGCACCTGCATTGAGAG